CTATAGCCCTAGCTACTTGGGGGGCTGCAATTGGTGAGATTACAGTTTGGGTGAGCTTGGGCAATATAGTTCATGCCACCTCTTACAATCAATAGATGAGTGTAATGTTGCATATTTGCCATCCTACCTACAGAAGAGGCTAAGCAGATCAAGGTACCAGGTCAACCAGGCAAAAGGCTGGTGAATCCTTATATCAATGGAAAGAACCTGGGCATATGACTGTTATAGCTATACGGAAAAGCCTATGCAAGGAAGATTGTGGTCCAGATGTATCCTAGGCAATAAACAAATAAATAGCCTTATCTAAAAATAACCAGAGCAAAAGAAAGGCTGGAGGTGAGGCTCAGTGATAGAACATCTCCTTAGCAAGTGTGAGGCTCTGAGTTAAAACTCCAGTACAGAAAAAGAGGAGGGGAGGGAGGGAGAGAGCCAGAAGAAAGGAAGGAAGGAGGGAGGGGAAAAAGAAAGGAAAAGAGAAAGAGAAAAGAGGGAAAGAAGGAAGGAAGGAAGGAAAGAAGAAAATTGAAGGACACCTGGGGGGATTTAAATAAAAGAACTATAAGGGGCAGTCTTAAAAACCCTGAAAACTGGGAGCTGGTGGCTCACCTTGTAATCCTAACCACTCAGGTGGTTGAGGTCTGTGGCTTGTAGTTCAAAGCCAGCCTGGGTACGAAAGTTTGTGAGACTCTCATCTCTAACTAACCAGCAAAAACCAAAGTGAAGTTCTGGCTCAAGTGGTAGAGTGACAGCCTTGAGCTTAGAAAGCTAAGGGACAATGCCCAGGCCCTGAGTTCAAGACTCAGCACCAGTGCACACGTGTGGATGCTGGAGTGCGTGCACGCGTGTATACACACACACACACACACATACAAAGAGCCTTGAAAAGATACACCCAAATATTTAGGAGACAAGATTTGAAAATTTGACCAAGAACCACAAACTACAAAAGAAGGAGCCAAGTGGAAGTTCTACAAGTAAAACGTATAATGAATTGAAATTCAGAAATAGCTAATGTTTATTGAATACCTCTAGTGCTGTGCTGAGAACTTTATAGGCATCAGTATAAGACCTTTGTGAAGTTGGCTTTTCCACTCCTGATGTAAAGTGGTCTCCAGGCTCCACAGTCCATGCATAGCAACATTTTTATCTCTTCCTGTGTCCCACATCTACATCTTAGCACTTGTAAGCTGTAGATAGCCAGGCTTCTGTCTCCATGTCTGAACAGAGTCCCATTAAATGTGTCCTGTTTATTTCTGTTGTCACCACTGGTTCAGTCTGCACAGGGTTTAATCTGTAGAAAGAACTAGATACACTGTGGTCTCCAAAAGATCAGATGAGGTCACCAATTACTCTTTCGGAAGACAGAGTCCACCACTTGTGATGGGCACTAAGCTTGATTTGGGAAGCAGAGGTGGGAGCTGAGTACCCAGAACTGAGAATAGGTTTAGTCAGAGAAGTCCCCTGGGCAGAATTCCCAGATACACCAACTACTTTGGTGCCATAAAGCAGAACTAAGTGGAATTGTGGCCAGAAGCATGAGGGGAGGAAAAGAACTTCCCCTTCCTTTCTTCTTCCCTCTCTTTTGGAATCAGAGGGGACTTGAGACTAGAATGGGAAAACCAGGTGGGCCAGTATATGGGGGAGAAGGAGTATGGGTCAGTTCATCAGGAAAGGAGGGTGAGTCAGGATGCACAGGAGGGAAACTAAGCGTACAGGGCAGAGCTTGAAGGAATTGGGGCAGCATGACTCATCTCTCCCATTGTACATAGGGTAAAAGCCATAACTATTTTAGTAATGACCTAGCTCACAATTCCTGAATGTAGGGTCAGGGCTAAAGAAGTCACTCACAGTGTCTTATTGAATCTTTAGAGAAGCTATGATGTGGCTTCTGTTATTAGCTTTATCTAATAACTAATGAAACTGAGACAGTCTCCCCACATTGAGGTAGCACAGCTTGAAAATGATAAAGTACAACTCAGACTCAGGTCAGCCCAGGATTCAGACCCACATCCTTCCCTGCTCACCCAGAAAAGGTGTGCTGGGAGCGTTTGGAGGGAAATTCTAGGGAGAATACACAGACCCAGGAAAATCTGGGAGCCAAAAACTTGTGTCCTTTAAAGGAAATTCATTCTCTCTCTCTCTGTCTCTGTCTCTCCCCCCCCCCTTCTTGAACTCAGCTTGGAGTAAAATAAACATTTACCCTGGAGCCATAATGTGGGTGAGACTTTTATTTGGAACATTGTCTGAGGGAGGGGCCAGGATAGAGCCCCTCTATCCCATCTGACAAGTGAGATAGGTTTTTAGACCATAAGATAAAAATCCTTCTTTGATCTTCAAACACATTTTTGAGAGCACATTGATTTTAAAAACTGGAATTTAGAAATATCATAGAAATACAACTAGGAAAGAGTCTATCACAGTTGGATGCTAGCCACCTCCACTTTCAGCAGGTATGATGACAACATTATGCACCTGATGACTGAGAAAAGTTCCAGAAACTTTAAACCTTAAATCAACAAATGCTGGAAGTAGCAAATTACTAGGCAGGTTTATACACATCTCCTTCTTTAGCTAACATTCATGAAAGAAATCCAAACCTGAACAAAGAAGTGAGAAAACACAACACCAATTCCCCTCCTCTGCCAACTTTCAAAGGTAGGTGTCACTTCTCTTCCATGATGCAAAGAAGCTGACTGACTCACTCAGGATCACACAATATGGGAGGACATTGAAGGAATAGTACATGACACTTGACCTCAAAGCTCTGAGTGATAAGGCAGCATTATTATTTGCACAAGTGTTTCATTTGCTCCAAAAAAGGAACTCTTAAAGATTTGGGAAAGTTATATGTAGCTTTTTGATTGAAGGGTTTAATCCTCAACCTAGAAATTTTGACTTCTTGATTAAAATAAAGTTAAACCCATCAAGGTCCACTGCTATAGTAGACTAACTTGGGGCAGCAAGTTAGAAGACCTGGATTTATGGGAATACATTTTTATTAACAAGCTCTGTGACTTTGGGCAGGTCTCTCCTTTCTGGTCCTCTTTAAAATAATGATAAGGTAGGATAACAATGATCTCTAGATTCTAATGAGTTCTAACAATGCTCCAATCTATGCTTCTGTGATGGTATTTCTCATCAGATAGATCAGAGAGAAATCCTGTTTAAATTTTGTATATTCATAAAACAGGGGTACACTTATCTTTTTCTGTCTAGAATATTGTAAGGAAGGAAATGCCCACTGTGAGCTAAGAACAAATTTTCTTTCTTTCTTTCTTTCTATCCTTCTTTCTTCCCTCCCTCCCTCCCTCCCT